CCCCATCAGTGTCACAGCTGCTAATTAACAAACAGGATGTAGGAACTCCATCATGAAAGTCAGCCGTTCAGCCAATCAGCCATCAGCGTGTTTATGACACTATCACCTGCTGCCTGAGGTGGACTCTGGCCTCCTGGTTGCAGCTGATTGGCTCTAACAATGTTATCAAGATCAGGGATGCGGAACCGGATCAACCTGTTCCTCCTGGCAGCTCCAGTAAGTGAACGCCTCCCGGGACTCAGAGGCAGTGGGACCGGTTGTCAGAGACATGCTCACAGTCAGAGTGGGTCAGTAAGACATTCATTTATTTATCTGTGTGTCAGTATCTACCTACACAGGTGTGGTTGCATTTGCAGCACTACTGAGGTATTTATTCACTTTATTGTTTAGCTTCAGTTCTCCACTGATTCTTTCTCAATTTGAAAACTATTTTTATAATTAATTAATTATTTGAGTCATTTTTCTGAAGCTTAAATCTAAAATATTTGCAGCTTTCAGTTTCTCCAATTTGAGGTTTGTCTGTTTTATACAATTTTAAATGGAATATTTGGGCTTTTTGACTGTTAGTTGTTATGTAATATACATTGGATTAAGTGGCTTTCAGCTTGGGGAAATTGTGATTTTAATTTTGTTATATTTTACAGAAAACAGTTTTACCTCTATATGGATTTGTTTTTGACATTTGCATTGCATCTAGAGCTGAAACAGTTGGTCGATTAATTAATAAGTCAGCTGGCAACTAATGTGATGACTGAGCCCCAAACATTTGCTGGTTTCAGTTCCTCCAGAGATATTGAATATTTCTCTTATATGATAGTAAACTGAATATGTTTGAGTTTCAGTCTCTTTAATATTAGTTGTTTTGTAATTGCTCGTAGCAGCTTGAACTATTAAAAAAGTTTAAAAAAGGAGAAATAAAAGAACATTCACCTTTTTCCAATCAGTAAAAGTGAACGTTCAGCTTCGTGTTACAGTAGGGACATAAGAATGGAGCAGTGTGTGAGTGAGGAGTGTTAATCCAGCTGTTATTACAGTGTGTGTGTGTTGTGACAGCCATAATCCGCTCTGGATTTACAATTCAAACTGATGGTGTTTGATGATTTCATATTCTGCTACATAAAATTACTGTATTTCATCCTGATAAATGCAGCCACATTTCAGGCTGAGTTCAAATGTTAGTCCTCAGGCAGCAGAGGAAGTCGCTGCGTTACAACCCGTTCACTCTCTGCTCACACACACTGATTATTATAGAAACAGGATTCACAGTCTGACATATGGAAGCTTTAATTTGACTTTTTCCAACACTATGTTTTTCTTTTTTAACAGGAAAAGCAAAAATGCGACGAGTAAACATCAGAGCATGTAAGTTTTAGTTCTGTCTGAAAACTCATGACTGTGTGTTTTATGATCACTTCCTCATTGATTATTGACATTGGATTGTTTCTTTGAACACGTTTCCACCTTTCCACCAAATGAGATTACAAAGACACATTGTTGTTGCAACCAGTCTGAACAGTAAACTCCTGGTTGTATCTAGAAATACCAGACACAGACCAGGATAATTGACTCTTTAAATCAACCCTTATTTATACAGGGCGTTTCAGTTACACTCTTCTGAATGCACACATGTAGAGAGTGTGGTAATAAAGTGAAAGCAAACATCCAACAGTCACAAACTTGGAATTTACAAGACTGCAAATCAAGGACAAAGATAATAAGACTTAGACTTAGACTTAGACTTCTCTTTATTGATCCTTTTGGGATGTTCACAAAGACAAAAAAAAAGCATCAAATAAAAATACTGCGTTAGTCTACTGCAGTACTTTCTTAAGGTACGGATTTCCAAAATACTCTGAAAAAGCTTTTGCGTATTTGATGTGGTTTGCACATCTAAACACTAGTGATGGGTCGGTCATGAACGATCCAGCTCTAAGAGCCGGCTCTTTGAAGTGAACGACGGGAGCCGGCTCCTGATTGGGAGCCAGATCCGGATTTTTTTTCCTGTATTTTCCCGTTTTTTCCTGTTAAAGCCGCGTGATTGGTCAAGATGTGTGGCAGCTAATTAGCGGGGGGGGGGGGGGGTTACAGACCGCCGACTGCCTGCAACACATCCTCACATCCCAATCCCACACACCACACACACACTCACTCTCACACACACACTCTCACACTCACACTCACACTCACACCACACACACCACACACACCACTCCCTTTATGAATCGTGACTTGACCATTTGCACTTTTTGACTTCATCGCTGTGAACTTGAGAACCTGACGCTGCAGATATTATTTCCTGAAGATGACTTGGTTTGGATGCCAAATTATGTTCTTTTTGGCATGTTACTCATAAATCATTTGATTTAGATACCAGAAACTTTTAAAATTGTACAAATGTACAGCATGAATTCATTATAATTAAAATTTCAGGGGTATCAGGTTACGGTAACAAAGGAACGTGACGCTATGAGAGGTACAGGAAGTGACCAAATCAGGATAAAGTAGGTTATAATCCTCCCAATAAGGTCCCCAGTGGGTCCCAAACAGTGAAAATGTTAGTAGCATGGTTGCTAGCAAAACAATGAGACACTTTCTTTATCA